TTATAATTGACATGAATACGTTTATATTATTTAATATAAATGTATTCCTGTCGGTTATAACCGACAAGAATGGTTAAAAAAAATTCAAATGCAACTGCTAGCTGATGTCAGCTAGCCGTTGCATTTGAATTTTTTTTTTTGTTTTTGTTTTTACAGTTTTATTATTATTTTTTATTTACAAAATTTTTCCTATAACTTCTATTTTTCATTTTTTTTAAATTCTATTTTTTCCTATAACTTTTATTTTACAAAATTTGTTTCATATTTTTTTTAAATTCCATTTTTTCCTATAACTTCTATTTCACAATTTTTTTTTTTTTTTAAATTCCATTGTTTCCTATAACTTCATATTTTTTATACTCCTACAATGGCGGATGATGAAGATGATGTTGATTATGGATATTAAATTTAAGTTATTGAAGTTTTTAAATTTCAGTTAATGTTGTTTTCAAATTTAATTTGTAGTTTTTAAATTCAATTTATCGTTTTTAAATTTTAGTTGTAGTTTTTAAATATAAGTTGTTATTGTTTTTAAATTTAAGTTGTTGTAGTTTTTATATTTAAATAATAAATTATGTTTGGCCCTATGACCCTCGGTTGGAGACGATTTTTTGTGACAGGGCTAAAACGAGCCCTTTAGCCCTCGGTTGGAGACGGAGACAAATATGACCTTGTACTGTTTATTAAAATATTAATATCTTGGAGAACCAGAGAACTAAAACAAACCTTTTGGCCAGCTATCGGTTATAGATGGCCTTATAGGAAGAAATATGAGCCTGTTGGATTGTAGCTATATATGGTGGTGCGTACTGCTGCTGAAGGTCGAGGGAGGTTTGGTCCCATCTATGTGCAGCTGGGCCTCTTTCCCCTCCTTTGCTATGATTACTTTTTTAGTTTTTACCACCACATTTGTTCTCGACCTGATTTATTCTTATGGAGTAAATATTATTTTTGGAAGTTCCTATAAATTTAGAGAAATCGTTGTTAGTCCGACAGATTATTGGAGAATTTGGGTTGTCACAAGCTTGCATGCCTATCCCTGTCAAAATTAAGACTCGATACACGGATACCGTCAGCCAGGGCCTGTGTAATGAAGGACAAAGGTACATATATGCTTATTTTTCAACAGTGTTTTTTCTTAAACCAAGATCAATAAAAGATGTCAATCAGAATAAACACTTTAATGAAAATTCGAATTGACACTTTTGCCAACGAACCCAAAAAATTCAAAATGATGCTTCATCTTTTGAAAGTAACGATGTACATGCCTCTAGTGTATCGGTTTACACATAGGCCAAAACTACGTGTTAGATTAGAGTTAATCAATTATTGTACTTCTAAATATAAATGTAATCCCCCTTTGACACATCCATATTTATATCATGTAATTCATTGTAATGCAATATAAGAAGTCTCAATTTTGTACTACTAACATGTGGTATGGGAGTTATATCATAAATGTGTGATGTGATACCTCTTATATTAAAAAAAATGTATATATATTCTCGTTAAAGAGTTATACATAAGTTGTGTACCAAATTATATTGATATCATTAGTATCATAAGATTATATGTACATATTAGTAAAAAGTGTTTCCTTAAAGAATACATAACACTCGTATTTAATTAACGTTAACAAAGACCATGCAAATGTTAATATTTTCTATTTAATGTGGGTTAGTTCAAGTAGCGAGCGTGAGTAAGATAATGCATCGGATTAAACTAGGTCAATAGTTTGATTTCCTCCATTTATAAAAACAAAGAATAAGAAAAGGATTATGTATGCAATGCAGCATAAAATGCATTTATGAATGCATCATCAACTTAGAGATCATGGGACCTGACCTCTAATACCTAATAGACCCTAAATTCCTTTTAAAAAAAAGGGTCAATGGGATTGTTATTGAAAACTAAAAAGAATGCTTCAATAACGAATATATATACGAGGAAGTTGGCTCCCGCCTCCTGGTTGTCGTAAGTGTCACCTTTTCCAAATGAGTATTTGCTGCTTATATGGTTTGGTTACGTCGCAGTAATCTTAACCTAATCGATATGCACAGCAGAACAACTTTAATTAATTGCGCCTACCCTCTTTTTGGATTATGCTTTTGGAATCCCTAGTTACACCTTTCCCCTTTAAATCAAGCACGTAAGGGTTATATAATTCTTGCCCTTGATTGCCCATCTAAAAGTAGGGTTAAAGGAGCTTGCTTTTGTTTGAAAATTAGCCTCCACATCAGCAATTAGAGAAAAACGTACCCCATAAAAAGAGAAGATAAGAGTTAGATTAAAATATTATTATTATTATTTTTTATTTTTTATTTTTTATTTTTTTGTGGAATGGCGTCGATCTGCTCCTCAACCTTCACAAGCTCGTCGGAATAAGCCTCCGCATTGGCGTGTAATTTCCGACGTGAACAAACATAGATCATCAAAAAAACCTAATCAATATCAAATCTCCAATACAAACTTCGAATTCAGAAACATTTACTCATAACAATGCATCGTTCACAATTCAACTAATCGAGATCTGCAGAAACCCTAGGCGTACCTTGATCGAGGAGGAGTGAGAGATGGCAAAGCAGAAGCAGAACGGAAGGGATCGTCCACTTCCTCATCGTTGCAACTCGAAAACACTTCGAAGAAGAAGTTATAGTAACTTAGCTCATTGAGATTTATTTGTTTATGGGTTAATTTCCCTATATCCAGAAAACCAAAACCCAAAAATCGAATCCCTTTTCGACTCATGCATGCCCCCAAAATCAATTGAATTTCAAAAACAAGAACATAATAACCTCTGAATTGGTAGAAATTTCCTAAATAGAGCATCATCGAAACCCAAACCGTTTTCCATTTGGTTCAATTACGCAGGCACAACAAGGATATGCAGAGATAGGTATGAAGGTACAACCTTCTCGAGCTCGTCTTGGACCTCCTGCAACTGCTCGATGGAGATGACGATGGGTTTTTTGGGATGTTGTTGAGGTTGATGGCTGGATGGGTGGTGCCGTTATGTTGGTCACGACGACAGTGATGGGTTGGGTGATTTCTGTGAGGTGAGGCTGGTGAGCATTGTGAGGAGGAGAAGACGATTGAGATTTGAGAGAGTCGAGGGAGGGGAGGGAGTCGAGGGACTGAGAGTCTGACTCTGGAACTTGGGAGGAATTCACTAGGGTTGAAACTAACACTTGAGATTGGATGATAGGTTATCATTCAATCTCGGCCGTTCATTATAATTAGAAACGGGTTGGTCTAGGACCCCCTTTTTCTAATTATATGGACCCAGCCTGTTTTCTCTTTACAATTTTTAGAACCGGCCCGTACCTACCCCAACCTGCGGTTCCTCTACCCTTTTGCCCAACCCTAATATTGACGGAGGACATAATTGATATATTTAATTTTTAAAATACAATAATAAAAAAATTACATGTGTGTTGGAAATAAAATATATAAATATAGAGATGAGAAAATTGGGGAGAGATTAGACGTCTATTATTCTCATTAAAAGCGTCAATTATAAACATAGTGTTTACTTGGAAACAAAACACAAGTTTCTTTGTTTACATTATTAAATAACTAAACTATCAAATATCACATATTCACAAACAGTCGCACAATTGACAAATGTACAATAATATATTATAGTTTAAATAAACTCATAACATGATGATATTTTATATACTCAAAACCATCAAATGAAGCAAATAACTTTCCTTTTTCTTGCACCGAGGTGTTTGAAAAACACATAAACGAGTCAAATTCCTATTCTAAGCGATCGAGGAAATTGACAGTTGAATAAAAGGACTAATATATGTAGTTGTACAAATAGTTTCGATTTTAACAAAGCAATACAAACATTTTTGTAAAATCATAATTGTACATTTAAATATAATAATTTAGCGTCTAGGGTTTAAGGTTTAGAGTTATGAACTTCAATATTTGCTACATATCATTTGTGGATTAAGACCACGGATTGATAACATTTTTGTATTGAAATTTGAACATGTATTGGCTTTTTGGTAACAAAAAAAAGAGAAGAACAACGTTCTTTCTCGTTTATATGCTCATACTTTTAATTGGCTGTTATAATAATTGTAAAAAAAAAAAAAAAATTAAAAAAAAAAAAAAAAAGAAAAAAAGAAAAAGAAAGGAACCAAAGAAGAAAACCTCGTGAAGCGAGAAGCGAGAAGCGAAGAAGGAAAAGGTGATGAGCGTGGAGGAATGCCAAAACCAAAAATCAGAAAACGTTTCATTCATCACGCATAATGATTTTTTAGTGTGACCATCATACGAGATGGTACATCATGTATTCTTATAGAAATGATGTGTTATGTGTGTTAAAAAGTTAATAACTTAAAAATTACAATTTTTCATCACTTATATAAAAATACATGATATACCATACGTGTTCCGGTCATAACTAAAAATTTCCTCAACACACACACGTCCTCTATTCCCGCGTTCTCACGTGCGTCATCACGACCCAACTACGGAATACAAAATTATTTAAAAAATATATTCGGATTCTAAAAACGATTAAAAACAAATAATTTCAAAAAAAGAGAGGAAAATTGTAAGATCAGTGAAACGACAAGAGCCAAAAACCTGTCAGAAATATCTGCCACCACAGTTAGTTCGATTATTACCGGAAATAGCCGGTGGTCGTCCGGTTTCTCGAAACCCTATGCTTCCCAGCTCCTGCAGGCCCTCCCGGCCCCTTCCCTCTCTTTCTCTCTCCCCCTCTATCTCTCTATCTTGTTGTATGTGCCAGAAATGCAGAGTTTTAGAGAGAAAGAGAAAGCGACTGTAACAAGATTTTGGTATTGTGCAAGATCTGTGTGTGAGTGAGCGACTGCTGAACTCACTCAACTCTCTCTGCGTTTATATAAGGATGCGTGAAGTGAAGCAAAAACCCAAATCTTCAATCAACTCTCTCTCTCTCTCTCTCTCTCTCTCTCTCTCTCTCTCTCCCCCTCTCCTGTGCAAGCCATACTTAGACGTTGTCGTTGCTCAGTAGAATAAGATCATCATCTTCCATCATCATGATAAGACAGCCTAGCCTCTCCTTTTCCACTATTTTCTCTCCATAATCTCACCCACAAAATTCTTAGCCACACGCAACTCTCTTTCTCTCTCTCTCTCACTCTCAGTCTCTAAAGAGCTTTTTCCATTCATGGCTGAGGGTTTCGAGCCCTACCATGTGCCCCAACAGAGCAGAAGGGACAAGCTCCGGGTCCTGGCGGGTCAAGCCCACCCCGATTGCCTCCAACCCGGATCACCATCTCCTCCTCCATCACATCTCCACCATGCTTTGCTCCCTCTCTCATACGATCCCACCACCTCCTTCATCTCATCCTCCTCAGATTTGCTCATGTGCGCCGAGCCGGCCGTGAAAGAAGAGGGTAGTCATCATCACGTGATCAACCACTTGATGGGTTTTGCTTCCAATTCCACCTCATCTTCTACTTTTCGCCACAACAACCACCATCCTTACATGGATCCACAATTCCCTCTCACTCTTACCGCCGTTCAAGAAATCAACGCCAACCCATTTCTCTGCCCCCCTCAAAACGTCCACCCCCTCAGAGATTTCGACCACCAACAACCTCCTTATGACGATCAAGTCGTCGTCTTCAAACCAGAGCCTCTCTCTCTGTCCCTCTCTTCTTCCCAGCCCACCAACCACACCCACCACACCCAGCAAACCCAGAACAACACAAACAACAACAGTCTCCAGAGATTTTCCTCTCCTGGGATTAATTATGATTCAATAAATTCTGGCGTTAGTGTTGCTTCTGTCCCTTTTGGACCGTTCACGGGGTACGCTTCGATTCTGAAGGGATCTAGGTTTTTGAAGCCGGCGCAGCAGTTGCTGGAGGAGTTTTGCGATGTGAGCAGTCGTGAAATTTACAGCGCGAAAGTCTTGACGGCGGAGGATTCCTCTTCGTTTCTTGACCCTCCTATTGAGAACTTTGGTGACGACGACTCACTGACGGCTGGGGGAGACGGCGGTCAGAGTACAAGAAAAAAGTCCAGACTAATTTCCATGCTCGACGAGGTATGCAATTAATTTTAACTTACATTTTTAATTAATTTCCCGTTTTAGTTTTTGTTTTGCCCAACGTTTGTTTTATGATTTAATTTTGGGCAGACGTTTGTGACTGTATTTTGTGCATTATATGATATGATTGTTCATTGGTTTTTGGTCAAAGTACAAACTGCGGTCATTAATTTGGTAGTGTTAATTAACATGGACTGATTAGGGTTATTCTACAATTCATTTGTGCGATTATGGAATTAATAGGGGATTATGAGACTCTTGCATTGAAGGAAGGAGAGACTGGTGAGTGTAAAAACAAAAAATCGTCTTTACAGAAAAGGTGATAGGAGGAGGGAATATATGCACTGAGATCTTCGCTTATAAAGCATCTGACAACCATGGAATGAGTTCCTAATACGTGACAATGTCTCCAAGTTTTGGCCCTAAAGTAGCGGAGGGAATCCGTTTAAATTGAATTTTTTTACATGTATTTAAACCAAAAAAAAAAAAAAGTATAAAAACCATAATGTTTTTGAAATTTAAAAGATGGGATCGGGGCAATTTAATTTTATGATATGAACTCAGACAAAGTTACCAAGCGTGAACAGTGAAATAATCAATATTTCAGTTCCTATTTAGAATGATGGGTAGGAGTAGGTTGCGTCCGAGATTCGAAACTTTCTAATGGAACAAAAAAACGCAAATATGACTTTTTTTTCTTTCAAAATGTGATAATTCGTCCATGTGCATGTGTGATATGTATTTAGTGCATGTTGCTTTGTCTTCATGATGATATCTGAGTCAGACTTAAACCTGCTGTCGGGGTTACATTTCCTGGCTTTAGCCGTTGAGGGCAATGATGAAGATTCAGTCTCACGTTATATGGTTTCATGCATATATATGGTGTCATGTGCCTATTTAATATCTCACTGACAAATAGGTTTTCGGTCTGCTGTGAATTTTTGCGGTCCTTGTCAAGACTTGGAAGCTGTGAGACAATATGATATGGTGTATTTAACAAGAACTTGGATATATATATATGATGGTTGAAGGTTTTGGGTGAAACCTAAGGAAGTTAACTTCACATCCCCTTGCTTATGTGGATCAATTACTTATTGGAGAGCTAAGTGAACAAATCAAAGTGAATTCTTTGCAATTATGTAGCAAGATGCATTATGGATCTTGATTCTTGATTCATTCTGTACCAGGGACAAATACACGGTACTCTTTACAAAATATGGATACGGGTACCTTAGGGAATTATTCGTAACGTCATTCACTATTTGGTTTCGTAACTCCACATTTAACCTTTGCAACATATATAGCGTTAACATTCAACATTTGAATTACAATAACTGAAACGTTACACTATAATCGTCAAAGGTTACATAATAATGGTAAAGTATGATGTTGTTAATACTGTAACAAGTTAGGTGTTTATGTTTTGAACTTCCCAATACACTATCAAGGCATGTTGTTATGTGTGAATGTGATGGCATATAACAAAAATATTGTCAAATTGAGTACTGGTACCCTTTTTAATGAAGGGTTCATTGACTAACTCCTAAACGAATATATACATGGGCCAATCGTACAGGTATTTCCAACCCAACCAATCAAAGGCGTGGGGTGAATATGTAGGCACAATTTGATGGAAGCATATCACACCCGGCCTATCACATAGCAAACATTACTAGTATATGTTACGAAGAGAATATGGAAAGTTTCAGTAGAATATCAGTTGAATTATATCGAAACTAAATGTTATTGAATAAAGATTCCTATTTTTTGCATCTAGGAGTTCATTACACTATATTATTGGGTAGGTTGGCAATTCCAAATTTCTTTGTACTTCGAGATGAATTTTTTACAGAGCAACTTCTCAAGGGATGGATTTGGTTGCATCCTTGGGGTGGTGGTAGCACTGCTAAATTTTTTGATTAATGATATTCTACTTCTTGACATCGCATAAAGATCAAAAGCTTAAGAATTTGCACACTTTGATGTCCAAACATTTATATCGTCGCAGTTTGTATAGAAGGGTATTTTAAAGTGCTATTTTATTTTTTTGTGTGTCCTCTAGGTTTATAGGAGGTACAAGCAATACTGTCAACAGATGCAGGCAGTGGCAAGGTCATTTGAGTATGTTGCTGGGCTTGGAAATGCAACTCCTTATGCAAACTTAGCGATAAAAGCCATGGCTAGGCATTTTAAGTGTTTGAAGAATGCTATCACTGATCAGCTTCACTCCAGAAATCGGAATGGTAGTCATTTAGGACATGAAAAAGATGAAAGTCCTATGCTTCATAGCAGTAGAAGTGTATATGGCCAGAGATCGATTCATACCTCTGACTTTGTGGATCACCAACCTGTTTGGAGACCACAAAGGGGTCTTCCTGAGCGCGCTGTTACTGTTCTTAGAGCCTGGTTGTTTGAACACTTCCTGCATCCGTAAGTAATTAATTAATTAGTTACTTGACAGCTTGTTAGTCTTTTCTTCAATGGATATGAGCCTTGCATTACTTCAATCTAATACTTTATGTTGCAGTTATCCTACCGACTCGGATAAATTAATGTTGGCTAAACAAACTGGTCTATCACGAAGCCAGGTATGTGACATCTGTCATCTATGTAACCGGATCAGTATATTAGTTTTTAAAGTTGTCCATTTCCAAAACAATGGAGTCTGGTGTTCAAGCAATCGTGATAAACTGTTTTAAACTGAATCAGGTTTCAAATTGGTTTATTAATGCAAGAGTAAGGCTATGGAAACCAATGGTGGAAGAAATACACATGCTGGAAACACGGCAAGCCCAAAAAGCTTCACAAAGGGTGGATTTAAGTTCCAATAGATCAAGTGATGATCATTTACCTTCCCCAAACTCGCTGGGATCCGAGAATCCATCCACATCCACCCATAGAGTTCAAGACACCGCATCTAAGCGCACCAGAAGCGAACTTCATGATCATATCACTATGGGGGCTACTGAACAAAGCCTATCTTACAGTAATTTTCCAAGCCATATGCATGTAGGTCATGTTGGTATGAACATGGCTGGTGGGAGTAGTAGTGGTGTGTCTCTAACCCTGGGACTTCACCAAAATAATGGCATTGGTTTTTCAGCTCCCTTTCCTATCAATGCAGCTGAACGTTTTGGCCTTGGCCTTGACGGCAATAGCGAGAACTATGCAATGGTTGGTTTCGAAGCTCAAAATCGGCATTATGGAAGGGATGTCATGGGAGGGCAACTTTTGCACGATTTTGTGGGATGAACGTCAAACAAAATGCAATTAGATGTTCATTTATTAAGCCAGAATCTCAGTTGAAATTTGAAGAATGGTTGAATGGTTAGCCTATAGTGTGGTGTTAGCTAGAGGTATGTATCATTCTGTCACACCCCATGTGTAATATTGGTGTTAAATTGTTAGGTAATTTTGTATTTGATTGAAGGAAAAAAAAATGATGAAATGTCCAATAAGACCCATGAAACCGTCGTGCATGATACATGGCTTGAATCAAAATTTGCCCTAAGTTTATAGCTAGGTTCTGTCATCCTGCGATGGCTTGCCATTATTTTTAAGAAACTAATAAAAAGGATTTGAAAATTTTGAGTTTTAATGATAAAAACAAAATAAAGGGTAAAGTGAATGGTATCAGGATTGATGTTTAGTATAAAATATGGGTTTTTTATTAAAGTGAATGATATCGGGAGTTTTTCGTGAAAATTATTTTTCTTTTATGCGTTAGAAGATAGAAAATCCTCATGTGCATATGCAACTAACCATATTTTTAATGCGAGCAATTTTTTACTCTATTCTACTCTAAAGGGAGGGGAAAGGGTTTGCACTCGGAATGCAGTTAGTGGAAGAGAAATGTGTCAACAATCTGGGCGCATTCCATCACTTTAACTTACCATTTGTTGTTTTGCGCATTCTAGACTTGGTATTTGTGTCGTATTTTTTGTGTTCGTGTTGTTTTTGTGTTATACTTGATATCTTAACGAGTCGTGTCGTGTACCTGTTAAAATAAACGGATAAAATGATCCGACTCGAAATTGACCTGATAATATTAACAGGTAATATGACGCGATCCGTTACCTGTTAAAGGAAAATATATTTTAAACCAATAAATAATCAAATGAAAAACATAATACTAAATAGGTATATACATACTATATTGTCACATCCAAAACATAAAAACGCATTTTTCTTTTAAGTATATTTTCGCTTACCTAAAGTCTTTAATAGTTTTTTAATTAATATAGAAGTGTAAAAAAATATAAACGCTCGTAATGACAAGTTTTACAACTTTCATGAAGAACTTAACTTCGAAATTCGCCACTGTAATCATATAAATCATAGATCAAATTTTAACCGTTGATTGTTGTTTACATTTACGGTTCATTGTTCTCATCAAATTTTGTTTTTTCAGATTTTCTTTTTTGAAAACATGATCTATTAGAGGATGCAGGAAGATGAACGGTTTGGATCGTTGATTATTAGTGAAAATATTGCTTGATGTTTATAAAGTTTCAACAAACTATATAATATCGACTCATATTTTAGTTAACCGTAAATATCGAAACGTGATATCAAAAATCTGAACCATTCATCTTCTTACATCCGCCAGATAATCATGTTTTCAAAAATAAAATTTAAAAAATGAAATTTAGCAAGAAGAATAAAGCGTAAATGACAATCGACAGTTAAATATAAATTTAAGGTTTATGGATTATAGTGTTGTATTTCGAAGGTGATTGTATTTTTTTTTTGTACATTTTGTACACTTCTACAATAATTATTATTAATCTTGCCCTCAAATAAAAAACATTATTCATGAAGGTTTGAAGGATTTTAAAAATCTAAACGATAATGTAAGTGTAACTATTATCTACTTGTGGAGGAATAATGATGAATCATGAGTGTTTTTATATTCTTTCACATTTTTCATACTTGTATGCATGTCTTCTTAATTCTTGCCTACACAAATATTATACTAGTTTATTTTAATTTTAGACAACAACATGTTAAGTAAAATTTATCCTAGTAACGATAATAAGGAACTCTCATAATAAAAATAAATAATGACTAAAACTTTTTTTTTTTAACTTATATAGAATAATAATACAAAATTATATATTTAATATAGAATATATTGTATATATTAATATGACTATTGTATTTTATAATAAATCTTTTAGTAATTAAATTTTAAAATTATCAAAATAATTTTTTTCTTAACAGGTCAAAACGGGTTACCCACGTGTTATTCACGTGTATATCCGTTAAGACCTGATAATAACCCGATAAATTATCGTGTCATTTTTGTATCGTGTCAGAAACTGTCGGACCGCATTCCATCAATTGCTGACTTACCCTTTCTTGTTTTGCCAAATAAGGTAGATAATTATAGTGAGTAGGGTATCATTTCTGGGTACAATTATTGAAAACCGACTCGTATGCTCTATGTTTTACGTCGTATTTAGGTACTGCGGGCCATGCAAACTAGTTAAATCTCTGTGAAGTTTGCATGTAACAAATTTTATTCCAGGGTTAGCTTAGGGGAGGGTGAAAGTGAAGCTGCAGAGAATAAAGGTCTTGGGAGGTGGGAAACTGAATTTTTAGGGTCAACAGAAACCCAGAAGGTGATTGGAAAGGCTAAGTTTCGGTTGGCAGGCTGGCCAAGTTATGACATTTATTTTTGTTTATATTATCTGTGGATGGACAATTGAAGAATTACCAAACAAAAACTGCAGAATCTGACTATTATATCCGTGAACAAATATTTACAGGAGGAATTTTCTGTATGTAATTAGTGAAATGGGACTGTCGACACTTGGGAGATATGCCTGTTTTTCTACGGTTACGACTTACATGGTGTATACATTTCCCTGAGACTTAACCTGAAAATATTGGGCCAGACTGAACCTTTTATGCTGGACGGAATTGGATAGAAGAAGCCCAAGGTTACTGTGATGCATTGTTTTATATAATAATCCAACTGGATTAGTAGGTTTCTGATTTTCTTTCATTCATTTGTTGGAAAAACTTCATTTCAACTACGCTAAATGTTTAAAGCATTACTGACATGTTTACTAAGTTACCATGAATATAAATGCAATGTATGAGTTTCATTTGTTATATTACATGTATTTATTAACATACAAGGAATGAGAAAATAATTAAGTGCGTTGAACGAAGGTACATATATACCTTCTATATATACGTGTCCGTTAAAGGGAGGGATCCTTGTATTTTTTTTAAATGGAGATTAGTTATGGGATCCACTTTATATTGAACTTCAATGATCTGAACTGTGTATTCAAAAAATGGGGATTAGTTGTGTGTACAAACACTTTGCAGATGTGAGTTGTACGTTTGAGGACAACCAAAATTTACAAGTATTTACAATGTACGTGCTTGTACGGAACTTGAGGGAGCACTTATGTGAAGGAAAAACTTATGACTTTGATTCAATCTAAACTTTGATTGTACAAGTCAGCGATATAGTTAGTAAGCATGTTTGTATTTGGTTAGAGCTGTTAGAATTTTTGTTATAAAAACAAAGTTATGTAATCATTTTGTAATGTGAATACAAGTCTCATATTTCTCTCTCTTAATTCTCTAGTTCACCTTTCTCTCTATTACTCTTTCTTCTTCAGTTTCTCTACAATTCTCAAATATTTCAATTTAGTTAACAAAGGAAAGAGCTCGATCTCAATCTACATTGAGAACTTGTCAAGGTAAAGGAAGTTTTAGAGCAAATCGTGGGGCAACGATATGAGAAAAAGACTCGAGGAACTCGAGGGAGATTCTTTGTTCTTGTTTTTTTGTTTCTTTGGTCATGATGGAGAATTTCATCGTTCTAGAAGTAACTAGCATTTTTGGGCACATTGAAATTTTCTCTTTCCACACGTTGTAATGTCACACTCTTCTTGCATTTTGGATTGGTTATATAACCAATGCATTAAGTTAACTCAAACCAAATATTCGAATAATTTAACCAATTGGCAAATATTGTATGCTGGGAAGAGTTTGAATTTGAAAGACAGTAAATTAATGAGAAAATCTCTAATTAATAAGAGCAATCCACTATTTACCCGTCTTTACCAATTAAAATAATTTAGAATATTATTGAAGAAAAAAAAATTATTAGAATTATTTAATAAAACCCAAAAATATAAGTAATAAGAAAGAAAATAAAAGAGAAATGTGAGAACGCACTTGGAAAATACTCATCGACGTCATCGTTCAAAGCACGCACAAAAAGAATATTATTGGCATTCTTACTCAAAATTTTTCGTTGTTGATTTACTGGATTTCATGTTTATGATTATAATCGTTCATACTATAAATGTCTACGAAGATGATCTTTGTAAAAAAAATCAATTAAAACTAATGTCATTTAGTCATCATTTATTTTTTTGAGTATATCGATATTTTTATCGTTAAGGGGAGAGAGAGTTTGGCTATGCCACATAATGAGTAGCCTAATTTGGTATCGAATTTGTCATCTACGAGATTTGAACCTAAGACCTCTCATTTTCAAGCGAAGAAGAATACCAACAAACCGTAATATTGAGTGACATCGATTGTATAAAAACAGATAGATGAATTTGATAAGAGTATTTAAAACCATTTATTTATTTGTTATAATGGATTGATTAAACAATTTTAATTTTAATTTTTTTTTTTGCAATTAAAATGATTGAAAAGTTTTGAGTAGGTGTCCTCGATGGGTAGGCAAGCATTGTTCGCAGAAAAATGTTCCACATGTGAAGGGTGTCCACACTTTGGGGAAACCGGTCTAAACCACAAATTCGTAAACCCCTCGTTAGGGTTTCTACTTTTCTCAAAAGGGTCTCTCTCTGGACTCCCTTCTTCTTCCCTGATTTTCCAACTCCGCGCACAGTTTCACCAAATTCCACGGATTCTATAAGATTCTCTTCAAACCGCCAAAACCCATGTGAGATCAGCTAAGTTCGGCCTGACCCAACTTCACATACAGGGGAAAGATTGAAGCTTTCTAGAGGCAGAAAGAGATAAGGATAGAGAGAGGGTTTTGGATATGGAAGCTCGAGTTGGGGTGGTGGTGGAAGGAAAGCAGAGAGCTTCGAATTCAGCTCAGGGAGGCGTGGTGGATGGGGGCGCCAGGAAATTCTTGCAGCAGCAGAGCCAGGCGAACCAGTCCCTGAATCAGCAGTCCCAGATAGGGACGGTGAACCAGCTTTTAGCTGGCGGTATCGCCGGTGCTTTTAGCAAAACCTGCACTGCGCCTCTTGCTCGCCTCACCATCCTCTTTCAGGTTCTTATTAATTTCAATGAATTTTTTGTGCTAATTTAGTTGGTATTATAGTTTTTTGATATGGGTTATTTTGGGTTTGTGTTTTCAAGCATTATTGATGTTTGATGAATGGGATTCTAAGCGTTAAAAGTTGGGGCTCTGTTTTTCTAATGTGGGATATGAAATAAAGGGTTTTATTCTCTGAATTTTAGTTTTAGTTTCTTGTAAGAATTATGGAGAGTTGAGATTATGGGAAAAGAAAATACAGGGCACGGTGTGTTGAAGCTTGAAGATGTTTAATTGCTTTTGTTGGATTGGTGTTAGTTAAAAAATGTTCCTTTACACTAGAAAATTGACAAAGTTTTGGGAGTATTTCTGTGTGGAAATGACATGCGTAAGATAAATATTGCTAGAAAAAAGAAAGTTTGTTTTGGTGATTTCATGTCGAGTAGAGCCGTGAAAGTTGTGTTGGAATCTGGGGTTTAAGAAAATGATTAAGAGCAGAGACGTTTCCGTATTATTCAATTGCTCGTGGGTTTATGTTTTGCAATGATGTTTGTGGTGGGAGGCTCATTTCATTTAATTCCTATGTAGCTATTTATACTTAAGGCTGGCTATCTTCCTTAGTTCAGAAAGCTGAATTAACCCAATGGCACATTTGGACGAGGGACTTCAAGTTCATGGAACTTAGGCTAAATTTGTTAGGAACGCACTATAAAAATTAGAGAGGGACTTGAAAGTCACTAGATGCAATACATTTCAGAGAAATTTCAAATTACACCTTGAAAGGCTAACTTTGTATTGCATTTGTAGTGTTTCAGTAGTTTGTAGTGCATTTTTGACAATTGAGCCTAAAGTTCCTTGGAAATTTAAAGCCCTCGTCCAAACATTGGGAAAGGATGGACAGTTCCATATCATTATGTGTGATGGGATTTTGTTGAACTTTTCTCTCGTGCGGTGCTAGTGATGTTCCTGTTTGAAGGTGGTTAGTTGACTATTCCATCATTTACTTCGATTAGGTGCAAGGAATGCACTCTGATATTGCAACATTGAGTAAGGCTAGCATATGGCATGAAGCTTCACGTATTATCCATGAAGAAGGGTTTAAAGCATTTTGGAGAGGCAATCTGGTTACCATTGCTCATCGCCTTCCATATTCTGCCGTCAGCTTCTATGCTTATGAACGCTACAAGACCGTGAGTTAATACATGCCTTGACTGAATTCTAAGCTTGTTGAGTACAAATCAATGTTGTCCTTGCAGTTTGCTCTGGTTTCATCTGACCTCTTTTTATATTGCAGTTGCTGCATTCACTTGTTGATGAACATTTTAGGGGTAATGCAAGTACTGACATGTGTGTGCACTTTCTCGGTGGTGGGATGGCAGGGTTAACCGCTGCCTCAGCCACATATCCACTGGATCTTGTGAGGACACGCCTTGCAGCCCAGGTATTGCAAAGATTTTTTTTGTGGGTTAAGAATTAAGAACTAAGAAAAGACATCCTGATTCTCATTGTAAAGTTGATTTATAACTTTCATTCCCTTCTAATTTTTTTTTTTTCAGTTTGAGTTCATTAGTGTATTCCAATTTTGTAGAGAAATGCACTATACTACAGAGGTATTGGACATGCATTTCATACAATTTGCAGAGAAGAAGGTTTTTGGGGATTGTATAAAGGACTTGGAGCGACACTTTTGGTATGCTTTATTTGCACATTTTTTTTCATTTTTTCATTTTTCATTTTCATCTTTTATGGCTCATTTCTTCATTCCGTTGACACTAAATTCTATTTTTCTTCTTGCTGCGATACAGGGTGTGGGACCCAGTATAGCAATAAGCTTCTCAGTTTATGAGGCTTTGAGATCTTTTTGGCAGTCCCAACGGTAAAGACTGCATAGCTGGTTGATTTGAGGCTGAACTTCTCGAGTCAGGTCTTTTGTCCTTCTATTTATTAAGTTGTAATATTGTAGTTTTTAATTCTATTGACATCAGGCCCAATGATTCGACTGTTGTGGTCAGTCTTGCTTGCGGCAGTCTTTCAGGCATTGCCTCATCAACAGGTTAGTGATCGGTGACAGTCGGTTTGAAGCATGAATAGATGGAACATCTATTAGAAATATTATGGTGTGATGGACAGTGGAGAATGTATTTGCATCAGTAGATTCAGTACCAAATTTTTATATACATTGTGGTTATGAACAATACTCCATGTACGATGCCTTTAAAACCTATATAAATTTCTGAAGCGGATAGATGGAAAATTATGTTAGGACTTTCCAATTAGTTTTCTAGAATCTAGCAATAAGATTTCAGATTTGTTCTTCTGAATGATTATTTTTTGCTCTTGTTTCAGCAACATTCCCTTTGGATCTTGTAAGGCGAAGAATGCAATTGGAGGGGGCTGGTGGTCGAGCCCGCGTCTATACTACGGGCTTACTTGGGACTCTAAGGCACATAACGCGGACTGAAGGCCTGCGGGGCTTGTATAGAGGGATAATGCCAGAGTATTACAAGGTCGTTCCAAGTGTAGGAATTGTCTTCATGACTTACGAGACACTGAAAATGGTTTTTGCCCGCATCCAATCAAGTGACTAGTTGCCTCTAGATTTCCCGTTTTCCGCCATCTGTCGAGCCATTGGAATTTCTCAGAACTCAGTGGGGGTTTCCCGACGTATGGAGGTAGGGGAGAGGGTAAAGTTGGTTAAAGACACAACTTAGGTAGAGCAATAGTTGTGGTAGTTTGAGAAATATTATGGTGGTAAATTTTGCTGCTGCTGCTGCTGCTGCCGTGTGACCGTATTGTTTATTCTTGTAGAGATTAGTTTAGCTGCATGAGTCACAACATGCTCCCCATTTTGACATGAGAAGTTAGCAAACTTTTACGCATTCGTCGGTGGTCACCGTAACAATTTTGTTGTAGAAGCCCTTTTGTCTTCCCCTTGTGTTTTTCTTTTTCTTTTTTACTCTGTTGAAGTTTTAGAGTTTCTTCTTACATGTTTAAACCTTGTGTTTGGTCTGATTTTAACTTTTTTGTTTTAATTTACACCAAGGAGCTCTTTTAGGGAGTCCATTGGACAGAAAGGGAATTGCAACACTTTTGAAACGATTTTGCAAGATATATTCGTCGATTACAGAAAGACGTTCTATATATGTATAAATTCATTTTTACTCATCTTGTGAGAATTTATTAATTTTCTTTAACATACATCTTAGATTGTTGGATCCATCTTATCGTTTCTATTAAAGAAAAATTAACGAAAAGTCCTTATAAAACTTCCCTTTTAATGAAAAGCTTTTTTTTTTTTTTAAAGTATAATAAATAGTACTAGGGAAAGGTATAAATGTGGTTTTTCGTTAAAGGTGAACAGTACCGAGAGTGTTTTGTTAAACCTCCCTTCTATTAAAGATGTACTACAATTATGAATGTTATACGACGACTATAAAAGTTAATTTGGGATCATGGGATGGGTTCTTAAGAGCGTCTCCATTGTTGTCTCTACCACCGTAAAATCCCTACATGGAGAGTCAAGCATTCTCCAATGGCCCGGAAATGAAGGTTTTAAAGTATAGAGACTCACCAGAGTACTAAAAAGATTCCCATATATAGGGATGCTATAGGGATGCTGAAGGGACTCCTAATGTGGTGGGGCACACGTCCTTTTTTGAGTTGGGTGATGTCCCCACCAAGGGAAGGTGTGAAGCTGTTGTCTAGCTACCAAACGCACCCGACACGCACGAATGATTCTTACTTGCCTGACTTTTTGTTTTTGTTTTTTTTACTGTTTAAATCAAGCAAAACTAACAATGAACTTTTAATATTTTAGTCCTTAAATTTAAGGACACTTCCCTAAATGAATCATCAATGATGGTGGTGGGAGTCCCTAATAGGGATTCCAAATTGGAGATGCTCTAATGCTGGTAGTGCTACTAAACTTTTATTCCTATACCAATAAAAAATATGCTATGAGACAAAATTTGTAATTTTTCTTCAATACTCTAGGAAATGAAAAGTGCAGACCAACTCTAAAAAATTGAACGATTGATTCTTAAAAAATCGACGGTAAAAAACGTTTAAAAAGTCGGACTATTTAGTAGGTTGGACTATCGAAGACTTGAACCAACACAGTAAGACTTGAACGCCAACCCAACCACAAACCCGAATGACCACTGAGAATTTCTGGTGTGTTTGGTAGCAATGCACTGAGAATTTCTGGTTAAAAATCTCTAGGTGTTCTGGAAGTAAGCAAACTGCAAGCAACAAAGCCTCCAACCATCCATCGAAACTATGTTAAAACCTGGTTGAGTATATGTTGTAGGCGCTGATTCATTCTTTTCCAAATACTAACGAAATTTTTTTTTTACACTAATGAGCAAAAAAAGTACTGGTAACGGTTAATTTTTCCACCTGACATAGAACGAACAAAATAAGAAGCGAGTGATTTAAGCGCAAGTTTTTATTTTGGGCAGAAAAAGAAAGACGTTCATGCAACCAAACATACAAATAAAGGACTTGTAGGTCAGTCGATTAAAGTATTTACTCTTAAAGAGAAAAAACACGATGACGTATGTGTTTATATAATGACGTACGTGTTTATATAATGAAAATCACACAAAGCAATCATGAGCACCTATGTAGGTGGGAGTGCGACATGCTTCCACTTTCTTCCGCTTCTCATGGTGTTGGCACCACTATTTCTCCATGGCTGCAGTGATGGCAGAAGACTTCAAAGTCGACATGAAAGAAGAAAAACTATTCGTCCATTTCCCCTTTTCCGATTCGACAATGCCTATGAAAGAAGAAAAACTATCAGTGCGTAAATCCTTGTATGTCCTCAACTTGTCAAGTAATGCTTTCACTGGTGAAATCCCATAATCCCTAGGTAACTTGCGAAAGCTCGGGTCCTTAGATCTGTCAAGTAATGATTTGCCTTCGTTCTTGAATCTCTCAAATAGTCAACTGGTCGGGAGGATCCCAACAAGTACTCAGTTTACTATGTTTCCCAAAGCCTTTGTGAGAATGTGAAGGTAAAAGGATCCCATATTAGTGAAAGAAGAAACCTTGCAAAAGCTTATAAGAGGTTGAGCCACTCTTCATATTGTCAATTGGTTTTATAATGAATTCCAACTTTTTTCATAGTATCACAGCCATGTTGGCCCACGTGTGAAGCCCAATGGTCACACATGTTCCACGTCACCTAGTTCGTGTTGTCCACGTGTTTGACTTGGCAATCCCCCGCACGTTTGACTTGACAATTCCCCACACGTGAGAAAGCGTGTGAGAATGTGAAGGTAAAAGAGTTCCACATTGGTGAAAGGAGAAACCTTACAATAGCTTATAAGAGGTTGAGTTACTCCCCATATTACCAATTAGTTTTATGATTGAACCCTACCAAAACAAAGAATTTTGGGGGCCTCCTTTGAATTTGAATAACAAAGCAGGATCATCTCCTCTACCAGCAGTCAATGGAAGTTACTGAAATTTTGGAGTTGAGATTGATTGGGATCTTATCAGTGTCGAAATTGGATTTGCATTTGGCTTTGGATTTGCGGTGGTTGGGTCACTTGTGTTGTGCAAGAGATGAAGTAAATGATACTACATAGCTATGTATAAAATCCTTGTTAAGACATTCCCTAAGCTTGATAAAAGAATTAGTCCTCACCGAAGACATGTTCACATAAATCATGTTGAAATTATTATGAGGGCAAATGCAGCTGGCCTACTTGTTATGCCTGTGTTTAGCAAGAAATTGGGCAGTTGCTTCTGCTGTCACATAATTATGAAGTACGAGATGTAGTGTGAGCTTGTTCTGTTACTTTTTTATATTTTGATGTTGCAAGTTTTTAATAGTAAAAGATCGATAAGAACGACATATTAACGATCAAAATTTTTAAGTCCTGTTCATTAGTTTTTTATTTTATTTTTTTAATCTTCTTTCTGATACAGGAATCAGCATTACTCATTATGAAAACAACATATTCGTGATCAAATTTTCCAAAGTACAAAATTTGACACATAAAATACAAATCATAAAACTAAATGTGCTCACCAAAAAACAGAATTAAACAATGGTGATCCAAGCAGCACTAAATCAATTAGTTCTATTTATTTATTTAATGAGCTTCATTTGACTCTCTTCGCTTTTTTTGGCTTTGGTTCTTAGCTCTTAGCTTTTGTGTTTTCTCCTCTTTGTTTGAATTACTCTGTCTGTTTGATATCATGAACATTTACTCTGTTTTAGCTTTGGTTTTTCAGGATGAAGACTTCCTAGTCAAGCTAAACAACGACAAATCTGATGGAGATATTTTCCACAACCCTAAAGCCGCCACCGCATCAATGCAAGCTGAGCGGAGAAATCCCTTTGTATTCCGGTGACCTTCAGCATGTTAAATCCTTGGACATGTTAAGTTCCACCAGAGTTTGCAAAACTTACTTTCCTTTCGCTCTTTGAATCTCTCAAATAATGAGCTCGTGGGCAGGATCTCAACCGGTACTCAGTTTTCGACATTTCCAAAAGCTTTCACTACAAGAAACAAAGGATTATGGAGTCCACCTTTTAACGGTGGATAACAAAGCAGAATTGTCATCAACACCAACACTGAATGGACGCCTTCCAAATTGGATTTATGTTTGGATTTCTTAAGACCTCCCCCTGATTTATCAGTGTCGAAATGAGAATTATGTTAGAATTTTGTTAAGAACAAAAAGTGAAAATCAAAGTCTAAATACGAAATGTTTATCATGAAAAGCTTCACGCCATCGGTAGAATGCCACTTCCAAGTATCCAACCAAAAAATTAAACATGATTTCGTTAATTACCCCCACTTGTAGCCTTACAAAAGAGAGACTGAAAGCGCTTCAGAGAAAAAGTTTTTGGGATCCAAAAGCACTTGAAGTGCTTTCTAGAATAAGCACCACTTCAAGTGTTTTTCCAACATTCACTTGCATATTTACTAAAGATTGATTTCAAAAATATTTTTACTAAAAATGCTTTCAATGATTTTTAAAAACACTTCTAAATAAACTCTTAAAAAAAATCGGGAGTATAACGCACTGTATCGAACGTGGGGTATACACACCGTTTCGTGAAGTTTTAGCTCGCTTCTCCACAATAGTCAGGTCAACATATAAAACAACGTACGTTTTAAACCCCACAAGGGATATGGGGAAAGGCTTTGAAGTGAGCAAGTCAAGCAAACACCAAATCTCATAGAAACCTTTTCCACAAATTTAGTTACTGTTGTAAAATTGTGAAAGTGAATGCTCACATTAACTTGTTAGTATTTGAAGATTTCAAAAAGGCTACATCATTAGCTTGTTAGTATCTGAAGATTTCAAAAAGACTACAATAGTAGCTTGTCATTATATGAAATTTTCAAAAGGAGCGGTCACCTCGCTTTTGTTTTTTGTTACGGATGTGGTTCTATATAAAGAGCACTCTGTGTGTAATTCCTACATACAATTAAAAAGAAAGAAGTTAAAGTAATAATATCAGTACCTCTCATTTCCTCTTTCCTGCAATCTTTTTGTTATAGTTACAAAACTAAATAGTGTGATATCTTGCACCCGCTTCTCTCCTAATGAAGGTTATCTCTCTAACTTTTCTATTTATAACACGTTATCAGCACGAGTCTCCAACCCTAACCAGTTCTCACCTCCCTTTGCCGAAAAATGCTTCCTCCAAGGAATTTACTGTTCTTCTTCTTCCTTTGCCTCACCTGCTTGTTGTACCCTTGCCAAGATCTGCTAGCACCGTGCCTGCTCCTAGTTCCCAATATAACAATTACTTATATTTTTTTATTTCTTGTTTGGTGTAGCTCCTAACTACTAACCCAGTGTTTATTTATGTTAATTTTACTGCAATTTTAGGTGGTGCGGTATAATCGCCCACCCTGCACTGCATATTTAAATTTTCCTGCTGCTTGAGTGGCGCGGTATAATCATCCACCCTATGCTATATTGTTTCAATGAGAGTGGTGCGGTACAATCGCCCTCCTTATTAATCATGTAAATCTCGAGCCTGAAGTTTTGAGTGTTTATCGTTTTGGCCTTAAGATCAAAATGAAAAATTTGTGAGAACCAAAAGTTCTAGCACTACATTCATCCATAATACATATTATTGCAAGTTCTTACACACCT